ACACTGCACAAACCTGATAGTTTTTAGGGTAATATCAGTACATATTTAATTACCTAATTTGCATAATTAATTAATTTTCAGCTTTTGATATTTCAAGTAGTAATCACTACGTTTCAATGAAACTTGGTACATAGATGTCATAGGACACTGCTCAGACCTGATAGTTTTTAGGTTAATATCAGTACATATTTAATTACCTAATTTGCATAATTAATTAATTTTCAGCTTTTGATATCTCAAGTACTAATCATCATATTTCAATGAGACTTGGTACATAGAAGTCAAGGACACTGCACAAACCTGATAGTTTTTAGGGTAATATCAGTACATATCTAATTACCTAATTTGCATAATTAATTAATTTTCAGCTTTTGATATTTCAAGTAGTAATCACTACATTTCAATGAAACTATGTACATAGATGTCATAGGACACTGCACAGACCTGATAGTTTTTAGAGTAATATCAGTACATATTAATTACATAATTTGCATAATTAATTACTTTTCGCTTTTGATATTTCAAGTAGTAATCATCACATTTCCATGAAACTTGGTACATAGATATCATAGGACACTGCACAGACCTGATAGTTTTTAGGTTAATATCAGTACATATTAATTACCTAATTTGCATAATTAATTATTTTTCAGCTTTTGATATCTCAAGTACTAATCATCATATTTCAATGAGACTTGCTACTTAGATCTTCTAGGACTATGCAGAGACCTGATTAGTTTTAGGGTAAATAATTGTAGATATTAATTACCTAATTTGCATAATTAGTTAATTTGTTCCATGAATGTTCCACTGATATATAAAGAACCACGAATTGGATTTTAATGAAACTTTTAAAGAGAACTATGCAGAGACCCAATCAGTTTTTAGTAAATATTTATGCTTATTAATCACCTAATTAACATAATTAATAAACACTGATATCTTAATTACTGATCATCATATTTGAATTAAATTTGGTACATAAATGCTCTAGGACAATAGACAGGCCTGATTAATTTTGGGTTAAAATTTGTTCATATTAATTCTCTGATTAGCATAATAATTCATAATTTTTTTGTTCTGTTCTGTTCTGTTCATATTAGTTACCCGATTTACATAATTAGTTTTCAGCTTTTCCATCAATATCTCAGGTAAAAGTAATTTTGAATTAAATTTTAATGTGTCTTTAATACTCTCAGCACACAGGAGTTCTTTCTAAGCTTTCTTTGATTGGAATCTGTGAATAAAATTGAAAAGAGTTGAGAGTAACTGATTAAAATGGTGTTATAACGCATGGATCTCAACAATACATATCACTTGAATTGATGTCACATACCGTACCATACAGCGTATGCATCACATTAGTGTAAATTAGAATATATAATAATATTATTCGTATTTGTTGTTATTTCACCAATAGTGTCAAAACTTCAGAGTTTCACTTTATCCATGTGATTATTAATATATAATCCAGTGATATAAAGTAGACACACGTTATCACCAGCATAGTAGCATCAATCCTCACTTATTAATCAAATTGATAAAAAACTCATTAGTTATAACCTGAGAAAAATATGCATATATTGGTAACAAAGTGTGATTAAGCCAAGTCAGTATACAATGTACTTCATATTACAAATCTGAAAACAATAGAAATTCTCTGTCTGAACATAAACGAACACAGTGCGAAACTTTCCTAGTTGCTATTTTGGCCTGTTATCTCACATTAAATTATTAGTACAAGCAGGGAAAATGTATAATATTGAGGTTATCACAAGAATAGTGCAAAGTATGAACTCAGGCAGTACAGGATTGCATCAACCTCCACTATGTGTTGTTTAATATGATCACTGTAGAGTATATGCCTTTGTGTATACTTTGTGGTATTTTTGTAATAATGCTCATTGTTGAACTATGTCTGGGTTCAATTTGAATGCAACCTTAAAGTTCAATTTTATGATTATGATTTTCTAGATATACCAGATGTGGATCATGTTGTCGTGGTAACAAAGCCTCCATATGTCACGCCCATGGAACTGGTGGTACAGCCGCTCAGGGAATTGTAGAGGGCGCTTGTCAGGATAAACCAACCGAGCTAGATCTAAGGTAGGGAACTGTAGTGGGCACTTGTCAGGATAAAACCAGCTCTGAGGCCAGCGTTCCCTGGCAGTTCGCGCAGACCCTATAGAAATATATGGTACAGTGGTGCGAATCTTGGCAACATGGAAACGCTGATACATGTCATCTATAGAAATTAAAATGGAAACAGTTCGTTATCAAGTTGGTTTCATAAACTTCATATACTGTTATCTTATGTCTTCTACCAAGTAAACTATTTTTCTATGTGTAGGCTATACCAAAGTCATTGTCTTTGGTTACACCTACCTTTATTATTATAATTAATTAAAAATGGATTAATTAACTAGCGACAGATTTTGTCAAAGACGAATTGTATGTACCGGTATTAGTAGTCGTAAATTCTGGCATTCTGTCGGGAAAATGTCATTGTGGATATGGTAAAATCACTCACTAATTAAAAATATATGAACTATAGAAACAAAGTAAATATTTGCATGGTTCAGCAAAGATGCTATTTTATAGGTGCTTTAACCCATATATTATCAACCTAAACGCTGATTCATATCCTCTCCTTATAACTATTAATTTTATAATGTATTTGTCTTCTGATTTCAGTTACCTCAATTTGAAACGTTGCCCTGATAGAATTGGTTACATTGGTAGCCAACTTGTTAGCCTGAATCTATCCAATAATAGACTAGCCTCACTCCCCGATGAAATAGGATTTTTGAGAGGATTAGAAGAATTCTTCTTGCAGTATAATTGCCTTACAGAACTTCCAGTAAGTATCAACAAATGTAATGTTTCTGTAAGTATCTATTGTCATGTTCCATTGAGAACATTGAATATAAAGAGTGTGAAATCAGCCAATTACATTATGATCCCTGTAACTGTCTTTACGCTATGTGCGAATAATAATATAATTTATAGATTGAACACATTTTTTGTGTAGTTCCCAATCGAACTGAAAAATGAGAACTCATGTATGTGTGCATTTGTGGTTGTGCCCATTTGACTAAATATCCAACAGTATCTTGTGTGCTTGGACCGATCAAGTTCAAACTTCACACATGAATCGACAATATATTTACATATGCATTACTTTCATGGGCTGATTAAAGTGGTGCATGGACAGATTTTGTTCAAACTTGGTACATACATTGAACATAATGAGACCATTATAGTTTTCGGATTGCTGGTGGCCTGGATTGATCAAGTTCAAATTTCATACATAAATCAAAAATCATATTAGACAAATGCAGTCATCCAATTTAAACAAAAACAATTTGATATACAAAGCCATATCCCATACATGTACATGTTCATTATTATTGATGTCACCTTGGTAGTCATGTGATATCTTGTGCTTATAATACTGCTATTATAATGCTTATAATTGACAATGACTTGTTATAAACATTTTATTCTTCACGTGCTGTGTTAGTGATAATTCTCCTTAGTTCAGTTTGTTTTGTAATCACCTTGTAAATGACATCTTCAAATCTTTTAAGCTTTTCATCAGATATCATACCCTTTAATACATACGGTCATCTTGTACATCTTTTGTCTTGTATATTATCTTTTACAGAATAGTATTGGAAATTTACAGAAGCTTGTAGAACTGGACTGTAAAAACAACAGAATCCGCCGTTTACCAAATACCCTTGGAAATATGACCTGTCTTAGTATATTGAATGTCACTAATAATGGCTTACAATCGTTTCCATCTTCTATTGGTAAATTACATGAATTAGAAGAACTTTGTGCACAGTAAGTATCAACATTGTAATGATGTGACAAACTACAAAAGGGAAACACATTTACAGGGCATTTTATTGTTGGCAACTTGTTTTATAGAGTATCGATATTTTGCTTTAGGTTTAAATATACCTTATTTGTGATATTTACTTACTAAATGACTCAATAAAAATAGTTTTATAAATATGTTTGGTGTACACGGCAAAACAATCCTTTTTTATGGCTTAAATGTATGTGTATTGGAGATGTGCTTGTAATAGACCGCTTTCAGCGTTTGTATCGTAGTTGGTCTTACTTTCCAAAATTGAGATAAATACACATCTATCTACACTTGAACTTAACACAAAGCCATAACAACATTGCTTACAAAACTGATATTGGCTCTGTATGTGTTCTTCTTGTCTTCAATGCATGTCCAAAATCACACCTACCCTGTTATGTTGTTAAGAGTGAATTCTACATCTCAACTGTAGAGGGCAGTATAGTATTAACCGCTATGGTCTTCCATTGCAGTTCCAATCAGCTTACTGAGTTACCGGATGAAATATGCAAGCTGGAAAATTTAACAGTAAGTATTTTTACATCTCTAAACATTTATATATGTATTGTGCATGTTGTGCATATTCAATTTAGAAGCTCTTTTGTGTTTGAATTTTAGAAACAAAAAATAGAAACTATGAAAAATTGTATGCATATTCATTTTTGCCACCAAATATTGTATCCACATATTTGTGTACATGCAGTGTTTTTTTTTTTCAGAACATGGTAACTGAAGCATATTTTTACCCCTTTGCAATTTGTTTGCCTTTGCAGTGTCTGCTTGTGATAATAAATAAATCATTTTTTTGTCATTCTCCTATATTTCTAATACATGTCGAGAGGCATGGCAGTTACACATGCTTATTTTTTATACATGCTGAGGGACATGGCAGTTACACATGCTTATTTTTTATACATGCTG